ATGTCCGTGTGTGTGTGTGTGTGTGTGTGTGTGTGTGTGTGTACACAGGCTTATCTGCTTGTGTATGTAGGTTCCTGTATGTACACTCACAGACATATACAACACAGATACATAAAATAAATGGAAAAAGATTTTAAGTAGTGTTCAATGATTTAAATGTTTCATGCATTTATACAATGAATTTTGACCATATCTACATCAAAATCAAGCAGTGTCTTCAGCAACAGGTTCTTATCATCTAGCTATGGTGGGCATCCAAGAGCAATGACAGTAGTCTATATTGTACAAGGGGTCTCTGGACCTTGCTGACCAATAACCAATAGGGAGTCAAGCCATGCCCGGTCCTGAGATTTCCATTCAATAACTCAGGTCTTTAGAGCATCATTGTCTACACTTGCCGGCTACTTCTGCTCTAACAAGAACTGTTTTTACAAAATGACTGTTTAGCCGGGCGGTGGTGGTGCACATGGGTTTTATCGCAGCACTCGGGAGGCAAAGCCAGGCGGATCTCTGTGAGTTCCAGGCCAGCATGGTCTACAGAGTGAGATCCAGGACAGGCTCCACAGCTACGCAGATAAATCCTGTCTCAAAACAAAACAAAACAAAACAAAACAAAACAAACAAACAAACAAACAAAAAAGACAAAAACTACTGTTTCTGATCTGTGTGACTTAGAGATTGTTCTTTGTAAGGGATAACATGAGGGTCTGAGGACATTTCTACCAGAAAATAAAGAGTTGTCCTTGCTCACCCGATTCTCAGCCTCAGCAAATGTTCTCTTCTTCCTGTGTGAGCTTCAAAGAGCTGTTCCTCATCCCGCACCCCCCAAAGGAGACAAAATACCCATGTGTGCCCATCCTCCATTCAAAAAGGACCCACTTGTTACTTGAGTGCAGGATCAGAACCTGGTCCCCAGCAGCTCTAACAAGCCAGACTTGGCCATCTGTCCTCAACAGGACAATTAAAGAGACAGTCACAGTGAAAAGCAGAGGAAAAAGGCTTACACAGCATGGCCAGATTGGGAAAAGGAACAAGGAGATTCAGTGGCAACCCCCAACTCCCTATTTGGGGCTTTGACAGGCACTGGCATGAGGTTTAGGCTTAAACAGAAGACAAGACATGTGCAGAGCTGAGCAGTCCCAGGTCTGGTGTGGCCCCGCCCCCAGTGAGCCATCACTGTCTCTGTCCAGTCTCTGCTGCAGGTTGATCTGAGGAGTTCTCAGGACTGTGTGAACTCTCTTTCTGGGAGACCAGTTCTTCCTCTGGCTGTCTCCAGACCTCAGTCTTTTCCTTCTCCCAACGTGAGACTCCCTGGGTGACCCCAGTTCCCTGGAGTCCATTGCTTCAGTAGTCTGAGGGGCAAGGAGTGCAGCAGAGGCATCCTCAGAGCATCATTCCTGTCAGGGAAGTTCCATGCTGACCTCCTTTGTCTCCTCCCAGCCCCCAGGACCACCTCTTCAAGACTCACCACAGGAACTTCTGAAGGCAAGATGGGCAGAAATAATCTGATCCTGGATCTGGGAACCAGAGTTGGGTTGGCAGTGGCTGCTGCTGTACTCCTGGCTGGGGTGTTGGGGTTGACAGTGTTCCTCAGGTGGAGGAGAAGGAAAGGTAAGTGGTCCAAGACTGCACCCCATCGCACTTCCTGAACAGTCCACACCAGAGTCCTCCAAGGTGATTTTTGACAGCGCAGATGCAAGGGCTCAGGGGATGGCTGAGTCAGGAAAGTGCTGCCATGCAAGCTGGAGGTTCCATGACCACACTCCATGTGATCCCAGTGCTGAGGAGGTGGAGGCAGATGATCCCTGAGGCTGGATGCCTGCTATACTGTCCTAACTGGTGAGACTAGTGTCCCAGTGAGAGAACTTATCTTTAAAAAGAAGTAAGGTGGACAGCATTAGAGGAGCAATACCTAAGGGTGGATTCTTGCCTCCCAAGGGCAGATCCCTGACGGCCTCCTCCTGTTTCCCCAGTCAGGCTCTGGGCTTGAGCTTAGAGTACCTGGGGTCTGTTTGCTGCTGTGGTTTGTTTGGTGACTGCAGCCCTGCACTGCTAACCTCACTGGGATTCTACCTGAAGCCGCTTCCTCAAGTGAGGTTCTGCAGGGCTAAGTCTGTGAACGCACAGTCCAGTCATGGCTCAGTTCATCTCTGTTGACTTAGTCACAGGTCATCAGTCCTCCCCTATGGTTACAGAGGAGAAAGGGGCTGCCCAGGAGAAACCTGGGGAGGGGAAGCACCAGGGACCGGAGGTCGCCTCAGCAAAGCTGTATTGCTCCACTTCCCAAAGTCTGGCTTGAAACTGGAGGATCACATGTGGATGAACATCTGGTTCCTCCAGTAACTGCAAGATGATGGCAGAGCCACCCAGGGCTGAGTGTTCATTTCTGAAAGAGCTGTGGTGTTGACAGAGAGGTCAGAGGAGAGACAGGTGGTTAGAGGAACTCAGAGGAAGAAAAAAACAGGATGTCAAAGAATAAATAGTGACAGCCAGAGGCGGTGAGATGGCTCCGGAGTTCAAGGAACTGGAAATCCTCAGAGCCCACATGCCGAAGGAAAGTGCTGAGTCCCGGACATTGTCCTCTAACACACGCATGCCACAGCATGTGCATACACACACACGGTAAGTAAATAAATATACTACGATTAAAAAATGAAAACAATGACAGCCAACGGTGATTCACACCTCAGTCAGTGCACCTGGGAGGTGGAGGCAGGAGGATCTTGAGTTCAAGGCTAGCCTGGACTATATGAGAATTTATCTCATTCCCCTCTCTTCAATACATTAGCCAGGAAAGAGCTAGGAGTCCTGTAGAGGACACTCCCTGTGCTTCCAGGAAAGGGAAACCATCTCAGGAACTCTTGAGCAGTGTGGTGCATGTGGAGGAGGCAGGAGATGACCAGAGGGAACCTGGTAAGACAGGTCCCCAAGCCTCTGATACCAGAGAACAAATGAAGTGGCCACCTCAGCACCCTGCTATGGTGACATCAGTGTGTGTAAATGTCTTCAAGAGGATCACTGAGACAGATTACCGGGGAGGAAGGAGTTTGATAAGAGTTACCAATGCCATGGACAGACAGAACGGTAAATAGCAGCATGACAGGGCACGCTAAGAAGATTTCAGGCTCCACCAACATGGCAGAGATTCCAAAGAGGGAAGGGGAGTTCTTTTTATATCCTTCTGGGGATAGAGGTGGTTTCACTGCACAAGCTGAACCTGGAAGGAGGCAGGAAAGGGAACAGGATGTGTGGTCACTAATACCATCATTGACTAAAATCACTGCCCAGGTGAAACCCTGGACCTGGATGGAAGCAGGTCAGCTGGAGAGAACAGAGTCTGGACAGCAGTGTCTCTGTGAGAGGTGAAGGGCGGTGCTGTGCCCTGAGCAGCAGCTGGATTCTGACATCACAGTCTTAGGGTGCAGAGGACAGACTGGAGGGGACCAGGCTGTGTCACTTTGCCACAGTGGAGCTGCACATGGGGATGAACGGCCAGAACCAGGAAAATGTCCAGGCAAAAGCTTTCAGACTTTGTGATTAGCATGGTGTGGTAGTGCATGTCTGTAACTCCAGTGTGTGGAAGGGGCAGGCAGGAGGATCAGTAGTTCAGAGTCATCCTTGGGTGTGGAAGACCTCAAACAAACACTCAGTGATTAGATGGATGACATGGGGACCAGGGAACAGGAACAAGTCTAAGTGTGTTGAAAAATACTTTGATGAAACCAACAAGCCCATTTAGGGAATGAATAAAGAAGTCTGTTTGAGAGTGTGTAATGGCAGTTACTTTTCCACTGCGGAGAAAACATCATGATCAAAAGTAACTTGTGGAAGGAAGAATTGGATTTGGCTTGTGGTCCAGAAAGAAGGTTAATACTGGTGGGGCAGCTGAAGCAGGACACTGAGAAGTCACATTTGCAACACATGCAGAAAACCCAGGGAGAAAGCTGGAAGTGAGGCGGGGCAATAAGTTCTCAAAACGCAACCCAAGTGACACACACCTCTTCCAGAAGGCTGCACCTCCTAAACAGTCCATAACCTCCATAATATGAACAAGATTTCGAATAGGTGAGCCTGTGGTGAAGATTTTTAACTCAAACCTGCACAGGGGTGAGCTGACCCGCTGATTTGGGTTACAGTTGAAGTGCCTGTATGGATCTAACAGAGCTGTCCAAGAAAACAAAGAACAACAAAGAAAGGAGTGCTTATAAGTCAGAAGAGAAAACACAGAGAGATGGGTCAGGAGTTAAGAACACTTGCTGCTCTGGCAGAGAACCTGAGTTCTGTTCCAGCATCCACATCAGGCAGTGTACAACCTCCTGTAACTCTGGCTAAAGGCCTGTCTGAAACCTTCTCCTGAATTCTACAGGCATCTACTCTCATGTGCACATAAACTTAAAATTATAAAAACAAAACAATTTGTTTTAAAACCTACAATAGCTAAATAAATAAATGAATAATAGATTTTTCTAAAGAACACGGTAGCCCTCATAGGGTAAAAGGTGTCAGTGTCCAAGCCTGGGAGCCACATGTTGGAGGTAACTGATGGCCACAAGTTGCCCTCTGACCTCCATACAAACTGTGCCACACCAACTACCATATAATAAATAAGTGGCAAAAAAAAAACCCTATGGTCATGAAAACAGCATAGTATGGACCAAGACAAATAGACCAATAGAGTGAAATATAATCCAGAAAGAGGCGGTCTCTATGGGCACAAAAAGGAAGGCTGGTGAATGCAGAGTAGATGAGGCAGGTGTGGAGTGAGGGAACTCAAGGTTGGTGAAGGAAGCAGAGGAGACAGGGGTGGACATGGACCTAGCAGAGATCTGGGGAGGTTGCTGTGTAGGACACAGCCCAGCAGAGGGAGCTCAGGCTCCTCTCTGACTGCCTGGGGCAGGTTCTCTGCTCCCCTGTCCTCTGAAGGTGGTCTGAACACAGGACAGCTGAGAGGGATGGTGGAGGGTCAGCACTGATGTCACACTGACACTGTTTCTTCCCCACAGGACAGAGGACTAAAGCCGAAACTCCAGCCAGGTGAGCGCCATCCGGGTCCTCTGCAAGAGCAGCCAGTGCTCTTAACCACTGAGCCATCTCTCCAGCCCCTTCAAATATCATAAAAAAAAATGGGAGAACCACACTCCGGGATCTTCACTAACCACTGACTCATCCTGTCTGCTCTCTTCTTGTCCTCTATGACCTCAGGATCCTCAGGCACCAGATTCTCAGTGACAAGGAGTGGAGAGGGCCTCAGGGGTCTCCTTCCCAGAACAACACCCACTTTAGACCTCATTCTTCCTCCCTCTCTCCTTCCATTTCCTGGGCTGCCCTCTCTGTCTCTGTTTCCTCTCAGCCTTGAACATCCGCCTGGGTTCAACAGCTCTCCCATCCTTCCCTTTCTTCTCTCTGTCTTTCTCTATGGTCAGTGAGCCCCGCTGTCCCAGAATCCTTTGTTCCAGATCTTCCACATCTCTTACCCTTTTCTCTTCACCTCCCAACCTCTCCACCCTTCTCTCCTGCCTCTTCTTTTCCTACTGTACATGGCCTGCTCTGACCCTTCCTTCTCCAACCCCTTTGTTCAGAGAAAGGTTCTCCTTTATCCCAGGCTGGCCTCAAACCAAATATGAAGCCAAGATGACATTGAACTTCTGATCTTTTTCCTCCACCTCCCACCTATTGGGAGGACAGGCATCGAACCACTCCCGGGTTATGAGGTGCTGGGATGGAATCCAGGGCCTTGTGCAGATAACTCAAGCATCCACTAGCCACACTGTATCCCAGCTTCCTCCCTCTCTCCTCTCCCTGTGGCTTTCTTTGGCCAGATGCCCTTCCTCCAGTCCCATCTCAGGTCCTTTCTTGCTTGAACCCAGTCTAAGCACCTACCCAGGAGATCTGAAACTTTCTTGTCTTCTAGTTTTCCAGGTGTTGAGAGAGAATAGACTTGGTTCTTCCTATTTCTAGTCTCTGTTCCTGCCCAGGACAAGCTGATTCCTAGAATGACTCCCCTTCAGCTAGTGCTAAGAGACCTCGGCCAGGCCACCTTCCCAGTGGCCTCTCATTCTCTTCCAGAGAAGGTCTATTCTGAGAATGGAACTCGGTCATGCTCATCTAGAGTCACTGAGGATGGCAGAGACCACTCAGAGGGGACCAGCTCCTGGTGTGTGTGTGTGTGTGTGTGTGTGTGTGTGTGTGTGTGTGTGTGTGTCTTTGGGTATCTGTGTGAGTGTGTTCTCTGGTGCCAATCACTCTTTTAAATAATTATTTTTATTACATTTTGTTTGTGTATATGTGTATACATGTGTATGTGTATGACTGGATATGGCACACATGTGGAGGTCACAGGACAACTTCTGAGAGCTTTCTCTTTCCTTCCAATTATGAATCCTTGGGATATTTCTCAGGTTGTCAGTATTGATGGTCTGGCCTGAACACTAAGTCATTTCTCCAGATCCCACTTGGGCCTTGGATTGTTGTTGTTGTTATTGTTTGGGTTTGTTTGGTTTGGTTTGGTTCAGACAGGGTCTGGCTCTGATCTGGAACTCACAGTTGGACCAGGTTGGTTGGCCATTGAACACCAGGAGTCCTCTGTCTCCACCTCCTGAGCACTGAGATTACAAGCATGCACCACCATGCCCAGTTCTGTGTGTGTCATTACTGTTCCTGTGTGTGTGTGTGCATGTGCAGGTGCACATCCAAGAGTGTCCATGTGTGTAGAAGCCAGAGATCAATGGAGTGTCTCTCAGTTACTCTCCATTATGTATTGTGTCCTGCATGTTTGTGTGTGTGTGTGTGTGTGTGTGTGTGTGTGTGTGTGTG